AGTCAAGTGTATTTCTGTAGAGATGAACGGTGAACATTTGATGTCAGACCTTCGTAACAACTGGCAGAGGGCGGGAATCTAAGGCCTAATTTCAGTCTCGGTTAAACTTCTGTGTAGTACACGTATCACAGCAACAAGCCGCTATGGTCAACCGAACAGTATACTGAGGTATTTCCACCGACAGTTGAAGCTCGAACTATCAACTGGACGCAACATGAGGTTCCCAAGCCTTTTGGGACGCACGTAACTGGGTAAAACAAGCGCGTTTAGTTTTTGAAAAATCTGTATTGCTTGAAGCAGGCTTCGTCGTTTCGTATAACCCTTTCTTAACAGGTTCACACGTGCTGTGTTCAGCGCGCTAACAAAAACGATGTATCTTTTCCGCGTTCCTAATTTTACGCATTGCGCATATGCGCAAAATAAACCACTCTGATAATTTGTTCTTGACAGAAGTCTTAGCTCTCCTGTTTTTTCGTTCAGACGTAACGGAGATTGAGTAGGCAGCCAAAGAATTAACATATGGATGGTGCTGACGCGACAGCACTTACATTGAAGGAGCAAAAACGTTGCAGGAAATCTTTTGGCTTCAATAAGCACGACGAAACTTCATGAAAATTTTGAGAGACAAGGAGTGTTGACGAACATGCGACATATGATGGTGTAATCACCTGTTAGATCCGCCAAAATATAGGGCATGTTTTCGAACTGGTGACGTCGAAAAGTGATATGTGTGAGTGGACAGTGGGAAGTAAAGCGTCATTGCACTAAATGACAGAAATGCCTGATCGTGCACCTTCAGCTTAGCCAGTTGAGCGAAATAGTAAAGGTTATCATCCATTTTTGAGTGGTAAAACCTGTGGACTAATACTTTCATGGAATTAAGCACCTCTATTAATCGACAGGCTTGCACGCATTGTCATCAGCCTTAGACAACTATTGTCAGCCAACTCCCAATAACTGTCAATGTCCAGCTCTTACTACGCTGGACCTCACACTGTTTCTGGAAGACCTTCAGAAACAATCGGTAATAACCAACGCGAAAAACCAGAACACAGATTGGCGACTCGAGAATCCTTCATTCCTACGCTAATACGTAACCAACAATAAGATTATTACACACAAGGTCTAATGTTGTAACAATAAATCACGATAGTACTTCTGATAGTTTTCTGGCTTCCACTGAACAGCGAACAATGACACGATGACTGCTGGATTGATGACTCCGGCGAAAAATATAGGGTTGGCTTGAGCAAACAACCATGAGTTGATCGTTCAATCTTCAACTACATTGACAACTATAGTAGAAGTTTAATGTCCGTAATGGATGTGAACAATAAGATTCGTCAGCACTATGTGGAACTTTGTTTCCACCCTTGGATAGAGACCGTCAGAAAGATATAATCAACTTTTTTCAAACCAATTGTCGAAAATCCACTGCAAGCTCTGGAAGTGGGCATATTTATTCACGCCAGCGAACTCAACTTGTATTTTTACTTTCCAGCATAAGAAACTGCAAACGGCCCTCAAAGGTGTCGATGTAGAATGTATTTTAGTTAGTCCTATTGCTATCTGCGCCTGGCTCACGGAAATGAGATCCTCACAGACTTGCATAGGTTATGTTATAGATACTGTCATACTGCATTTAGACCTTGATATGGCTTTAGAAATCAGTTGTTCAGAAAAAGCGTCCTCTTTCTTGAGAAGTAAGCATACTGGCCAACTTTGTGCAGTGCGGCTTTTCCACATACATCAATGGAGTATGTATATGCGTGTGAAAATATAAAAATATGCCATGGTTTCCAATGCCAAGCACAATATGCAGAAATATCTCAAGCTGCTTTGCACGTTCGGCTATGTATGTATGTGGTCTCGGGGGGCTAACTCTGTATACTTTTTGATGTACTTTTGGTTTCTTAGGTTGCTTGTCTCAGTCGAAAACGATTGCGATATTCTTGTAGCCTTTCATCATGAAAGAGCAGCACCACAGCCGCACAACAGGTTGACTTTATTTTTAGTTCCTGTCCCAGCTAAATGTTTACAACTATTCATTGCAAATGATTTCCAATGGTGCTTCTACTACATCAGTGGGGAAGAAGTGTTTGAAAAAACTGATAACTAGTATAATGCGCCCAGGATGCGTAGACCGACAACTTTCTTTTGATGCTTTCACAAAGGAAAGACTTGAGATCTCCTGGATTATCTTATCTTGCCGATTTGTGAGTTTCAAGAAGTCCTTAATAGATGGGAGCTAAATTCCTGAAATGTGATCGGATAACGCTGATTATCCTTATGCATGTGATTGGAACTTCAGGGAACATAATTTAGACGTTGCTTTTTTCCATAAAGACCTACAAAGTATTAGCTAGACTTAGGGCAATTCACACTCCTCCCTGCATCTTGTGACCAGTCAAAATTATCTGGGAAAGCCCAGTTTCGTTACTATCGCTGCTTCACCAGCCGATGAGATTTATGTGATATTTTGTGTATGTTGGAAGAATGTACTGTGTTGCAGCACATTTCGTGGTGACAAATTTCCGGCACACAAAGTCGCGACAACATAAATAGACTGGTTCGGTTAAGAGAAAGAATATTTATAACAAGTGGGAGGTTAAAGTTAGCTATTACATGGAACCACAGTCAAAATACTGAAGATCAGGCTGAGTCGATAACCTCACATAGAACACTACTGCTAACTCACACATTAAGTGGAGCTTCTTAAAATGTGGCCATAGACGTACCTCTCTTTACTTTGGCGATATATGCATGAAGGAATTTCTGCTCCAGTTTTTAATGATTTATGTATTATTACAAATGTGGTAATAAGTGTCAGCACGCATGACCCCCATTATTATGTCTAGTCTTCACACATCAAAACAAAGACATTGGTTTTGCATATGAGAAAAAAGAGACTTCACGGTTACTCGATTTGGATCTAAAACCCACGAGTTGATTATCCATCTATGGAATGATTGCTTGAAACTTTGACGCATTGTAGATTGCCAAAGCAGAAGCCTCAGCGGGATACCCTGCAGGGAATATGAGCTCTCATAAAAACCTTCGACAAACATATTTAAATGGCAGAATTATCCGATAGGAAAAACTGCACAGATCTATCTATAGAAACGGTAGTAGATTTGGTGTTTGACCTTTGTGAGGAACGTTTCAAACGCAAGTTGTACGCAAGTACTGAAGGAATTGTAGGGGACGGATATCGTGTTCAAAGAAGCCAGTTTGTCAGACTGTTTCTGTAGCGTGATGCAGATGGACAGGAGGCGGCGAAAACTGTAATCGAAATTTTAAGTCAGCGACTGCGTAAGTAGAAGTATTCGGTACTCAGATCTGGATTTAGTTGAGGCTGTTGACGTGAAATAACACTGTCAGACAACTCGCTCAACCTTGGGACAACTGCCAACCAATCGGAACGATTTATTTTTATCTGAATCAGCCAAACTTTAATGTGGCTAAGGACGTATAGATATGATACATTTTCCCTTTGCGAAGGTCCGCTACCAGGTCTCTTATCTTCTTATGTTGCACCCGCATGATTTCACGCTCGTTTCTCCTTGACTTCAACTGGGTTTTTGTGGGCAGGTACACAGTCACACCCAAATGCAGCCGCTGAGCTATGGTTCCTTGAATATCCAATTGTGCAACATGTATTTCGATCCTCAAATATAGACAAATTGATTGTTGAAGTTGAAACGACTGAGATTCAATTGATTTGATGAACTCCGATTCCCTACAGAGTCATGCATAAACGAGACTTGCTCGCAGGGAAATGACACTGTGGGTGCTCTTGTCTGATGATGAAACCAGGATAAAAAATCCGTTCACAGTCGTGGTTTGTCGGGTTCAGCAGAGCTCATTCATGATTACTGAGGAACTGCACTGACTTTGTTACATGAGCTTTAGAGCCGACCAGTGTAAAAAAGCTTAGGGTAGGAATGAACGGGGTATTCACTCAGTGGAGACCAGTTCCTATCTGGGCCTCTCAAGACGTAACTCCAGAGGAGACTGTTCATAGCTGATGTTAGTAAGCTACACAGAGCACTTACGTTGTTACCTATCATAATTTCAGCAGGTGTTAAATTTTCAAGGATACACTAACACCTAATAAAGACCTCTAAGCGTTAATCGAATTGGAACAACTGTGGAGTGTGCAATTCAACTCCAGTGAGAATTTTATAATGAGCCATTTTCAATTGCATAACTTCCCTGTTAAAAGATCTATCCTTGCTAAGTAGCATAAGGAAGCACTCCAGGTCAGACAGAAATTAAGGGCGACAAGATCTCTCAGGTCCTGTGGTCGCCCCTCATGAATTTGAAATCATTATTTTGCGACATATTTACAATGCTGTGCTTAACATATTGAGCAATGTATACAGACGGTCATATCACTGAATAGGTGCTAAGAGTACCTCCGAGTTTAATAGAAGGTATCTCATTTAGGAAGTTTAAACCTCTCCACACCACAGGAAGATGTTTAGTCTTGTTTGGAACATGTTATATCAAATAATCACTTAGGTGTTGTTGTGAAAACTGCTTTTACTGTTTCTTCGAGTAACCCCGAATAAACTACCAGTAGAATTTAGATTTTCGTCAAGGTGAACAGTGGAAACAGATTTGATGCTATCATCTTCCTCCGTAAATATCCTCATGGAGGAATTGCATACTTATGGAGGTAAATGCTGTTAGTTTTAGTACAAGATACTTACTATACTTTTCCCTGCTCACCTACACTACTTCAGAAGAACAAATTGAAGTTACCTTGAGCAAAGTGAGTAATAACAATTTTAGGAATAAAACATTACTTAACTTTTTTTATCAAGTGTAATTCTACGCCTGGCTGATTTGAAGTTTGAAATCATAAATTTGTTCATCTGTGTCAAACTCACTAACTACGGCGCGTGTTGTCTTTCCACTCAATCTGCTCGCGTCTACTCGTGGTTAACAGGTTCTGTCCTACGTATCCACATAAATAACTTCTCGAATACATAACTATGGCCACTTTCGAGGATGATGATTTTGTTACTGGAGAGTCTGGAGCTTCAAAGACGGAGCCAAAACAATGTAGCTCATTGAGAAAAGGTGGATACGTCGTTATAAAGGATCGCCCTTGTAAAATTGTGGAAATGACGACCTCAAAGACTGGGAAACATGGCTCAGCAAAAGTGCACTTAGTGGCACTTGACATCTTCACTAGCAAGAAGTATGAGGAGATATGTTCGTCATCTCACACTATGAATGTACCGATCATCACACGCAAAGAATACCAATTGATGGATATAAAGGATGGATTCTTGACACTTATGGGTGATGATTTCTGTGTATTTGAAGATATACCTCTTCCTGATACTGATGTTGGCAAAGATATTCAAGATAAATGGAATTCGAAGGGAGATTCGGACAATGTGATTGTAAGTTGTTATTTACTTTACATAGTTTCCTGCAGGTTTCTGTTGTTACTGCTATGGATGAGCAACAAGCTCACGCAGTTCGTACTTCCTCAGATAAATAGACAGAACATTTGAATAAATTTTTCACACGACTAAGTAAATTTTATTACGTTTTCGAAAGCAAGGTATGTTGGTTGTTTCAATATACTTCGGATCATTCACTTGGATTATAAGTGTCAGTAAGGTTTTGATGTATGGCTGACAACTTCGGCATCATACGTAGCACCCACGTGCTCATCCCATGCTTTTCTGCATTTGGTAGTAATCCATATATGCTCCTCAGCATCTAGTGTATTGTTTAATAAGGCTAAGGACCTACCAGAATTGCGAAGAAATCGTCCAGTGTAGTCCGTCACCACTCTGGTCAAAGGATCGTAGAACCCGTCTCCTGTGTCATAGCATCCTGGTGGTATTTGTTTGCGGGGCTCTTTATCCACTAGCTGCGATCTACCTGTTGAATAGAAGTTAGAAATTGTAAGGCATTAATTCACTGTTACATACTTACAATTACGGAAAATCAATGAATTTACCCCTATGTAATAGGCCCTTTGGAAAGTTCCAGACTCTGGTCTACGAGGTTGACCATATTTCTAGCACATGTCTATGTGGATGTTTCAAAACAGGACGTGAATCTCTACTGTAGCTGTAAAGGGCAGGGAATAAAAACCGAATACTAACCAACACCACCCAATGCTTACAAGAGAAAACACCTAAACCGTGCATCCAGTTTGGCAACTTCTTGGAGACATTCGTGATAAGCTGAGGACCTCAGGCTAGGACTCATCATCCCTGCTGGATTCTGTTTTTTCGCTCTAAAGCCATCTTCCGCTCAATATTTTCGTAATAAATTCACCCCCAAACTGTATAGGTCCAGATCCAAGAGTGGATGTCCGAGTTTGTCCTATTGCCATCAACGTTGTTTGCATCAGGAAGTAGTACTAGTGTGGTCCAACATATATATATATACCTTACTGGTGTACAATTCGGAATCTGTTAAGGATTCTGAAATTGTCGTAATTCATCCAAGAGGTCATGACAGAAGTCAATGCGTTGCTCGGTCAGTATAGTTTAGTGAATTTTAACATACTTGTCGTAACTTTGTTTCCATACGTAACAATAAAAATGTCGACTGTGCAGTGATATCCCTTACTGGTTTATCCACTAGGTTGGAGTTGCTTTGTCAGATAGCTTAGCGTAGGTTTCAGCTGACCTTGTGAAGATATCAAGCAAATCCACTATTGTAAAAAGTAAATTGGTTTGAATAAGAAATGGAAAATAAAGTTATTCAGCAGTTGTATTTGCTCTGACGTGTCAAGAAGTCAAACCTATTGTATTAAGTCTAGTTATACCGCCTGTCTACCCAGACCTACATAGAACGAGTGCAATTCGATCTCATAACCCACTGTTTGAGAGTCCAGTTGCACGACAAGTTAGCTACAGTCCCTTAGTTGAATAAGAACATGTGATTGGCACACTGCTTACTCAGGCTTTCTGTAGTTACTGAGATGATAAGGTATTTTGTTGATTCCTGAAATGACTGTTTATTTTCCAGTCTTAAAGTGAACCAGTGCTGGAATACTCGGCAGTAGGTATCTGCGCTGGTAGTTATTCTTGTTTTTTTCCAAGGTTAAGGAGTTGTAGTTGAAAATAATAGTATTTCCGTATTGCGATAATACAGTGTGTCGTCATTAACTGAGTCTCATAGCTCTGCATTAATAGATTCTGTTCTGACATATATATGAGTTAGGACAGCCTATCATCTGATAAAGTGCAGTTGTGAGTTAGTAGTTTACGCAATTGACTTTTAACCATGGGTCTGCTCTGTCTATCTGGTTTTGGGTAGATGTCATGAGGATTCATAACATAGGTATAACTCATCGTGGTTGATTGAAGTTTCTCAAACTTAGCTGCGGCAGTAATAGTAGAAGGAGGAGTCAGTACTTATATGTTTATTTCAGTGTTTCAAAAAAGAAGAAGGATGGTGCAAATAGTAATCTGCATTTTCTGTGGCTTTGTTATTTTATAAATATAAGATTTCTGTGCTACCGTTGCCTTTTGAACCAATTCACTATAGTTAACTTTATTTTGGAAGGACATGTTCTACTATATCAATACCTAGACTGACTGGACTGGTTTCAACGTAGAAGTTTGCATCGATTTGCAGCATTTCGAGCTGCCCCACTTCACTTAGCACACAAGGCAAGAGATGAGAGTAAGAAGAAATTCAAGGCGGGAATAGTTAACAGTACCTAGACTGTGACAGATATGTGCTTTCAAATTGGAATATCGCAATCATGGAATAAGTACTAGGTGGTTGTCTCACTCTGATCTGGAGCATGCTCAGCTGTAAGAACCTAGGACTAGTATGCTGTTTAGCAATCACTTAACCAGTGAGCCTCTTCATTGATATCGAATGGGAGTAAAACGGCTTGAATGTTCTCTTCCTTAGAAATGTCAGAGGTGAGAATTTATATAAGATCAATTAATTCCCTACAAGTTTATCAACTGGAAATAGACAGTTTGTAGTTCCTATTTGATTCTGTATCTTCCACCAATGTTCGCTTTGGTTTGACAAAAGTTTGATTATGCCCGTGGGGGTTCTAGTGGGAAGTCGTGATCAGTAGGTTGCAGCAGGTCGGTTGTGAAGATAAATACTCGCTGGAGACATTGGCTGGCGGTTGCACTATATCGTGAATTGGCAGGAGTTAGAGTTCATGGGCCATTGGACCGGATCTCAGTGGCTTAATGGTCTACGAGCTCGCCTTGTAACCAGAAGGTCCCTGGTTCGAATCCCGGTGGGTGCGTACTGATGAACAGTCCCAAACTAGGAGGGGATAGCTGTCCAGTACTCACAGGTTTTCTAATGGTCCTCTAACCAATGTCAACTCATTATGAAACCCTGTAACCAATCAACCAATACTTGAATGTATTGAATCAGTTATCTTTTCAATAGGTGGTAGATATTGAATGGATAGTGCATATTTTCGCCAACTATAAAGACAGAGGTTTAGGCTAATTTGAATTCATATTTAGGTCATCCAGGTTTTGATTCTTACACTAGTAATTTTGCTAAATACGTTTGATCTTCGTGTTTCATAATTCTACTGTCAACATCATTTAGACAAAACGGTCCAAAAGTGGACCTCACTTTCGTTCCTTTGTTCAGTTTTCTGAGAGCTAATTTTCTAAGGATTTTAACAAAAGCTCCCTCTTTGTGAGATCATAGAGAACATGTGTGGCTTATATGAGATTGGTGTATTGCGTTCTGTTGGTCAAAAAGTCTAATCATGAACCTCTCATTATCGTTTTAAGCAATATCCTACAGACTGTCTTGCAATTGAACCAAACTGTTAGAATTTCTTCACGAGTTGTCTTGACAACTTATGACTTCATGCTTGAGATTTGAGGTTCTCGTAGTGGTGGTATATATTAATTACAAGGACTGAGGGTGGTAGTTTGACGCCTGTTCCTCCCCCTTTACTGGGTTTACTACCGGCTTGACGGGATATAAGAGTGCGTCGTCCGAGAACTGATATCCCCGACCACGTCTGTGGTTGGCGAGTAATTATACCTTTGGAGCATTAATGTACTAAGTGGATTACAGTGAAGTATTCCTATTCCATCTGTTTGTTCGTCTTCTTCTCCCTCTTCACTAGTGTTAGGTGCAATGGTTTTTGTCAATGCGATTTGTGCAAGATTCAGGTTCGAGTCTTTGATTTCCGTATTTAACGTTTAGTCGAGTAATGTGTCGAAGTTGATTGGTCCGAAAATAGTTTCCTTTAAAAGTAGACATGCGATAAAGAAAAAGTAAAATCAAGAAGCATTGAATAGGTGAAATTCTGGTGATAAGTCGTGCCCAGACGGGTCCACCAAGTCAGGTAAGAGGACAGTTACTCGCTGATGATATTGGCTGGCTGGTGGCGACTCGGTACGAGTTGCAATTCATGGACAGTTTGAGTAGGTCCCAGTGGTTGATGAATGATCTTACGAGCTCGCCTTGTTACTGAAAAGTCCTGGTTTCGTACTCCTGAAGAGTCCCAAACACGAACGTAACAGGTATCCAATACTCTCTCTGGTATTCAAATGGTTCTCTAAAATCTGTCACTTTATGATCAAACCTGTAATTGCGTTACCCTAGTTTTGAGGTCTAAAATTATATGTACTTAAAGGTGTATAAGATTTTGAGAACTCGTGATTATTACGTTTCTTAGTTCCGTTGGAATCGTATGACTTAATATCCACTTATTATATTTAATCAGTTCAAAATAATGAATTGAATAGATTGATTCTATGCGCATGGGGTGTGATTATTGATTAGAAATTCACTTTTCAGACGCACACGCATAACTATATATATATGTCTGTTTTCGACATAGAACTTTGCACATATGTGTGGCAGTTCAAGTCACCACACTCCCTCCTTGTAGCACACAAAACAACAGAAGAAAGTACAAGAAATGCATAATAGAGACAGTAAACAGAGGTGTGAAACGAAGGAAGAATAATAACGAAGAACAAAACAGTTTCATTGGAAATCATAAGTCACAAAGAGTGGATGCATCTACACCAGCCATTGAGAACGATTTTGAGCTATATCACCAATTGTTTCCAACCACTGGTTTTTACCGTCCTGAGGATCCCAACCAGGAAGTCTACACCTTCTTACATGGCTGAGACTGACTGTTGTAGATTTCATTGACTGGTTCCATGTTTTGGTTTGACCGCCGCTAGCTCTTTTCCAGCCTGACCCTATGCCAGCTAACATTGCCCATAGTCGAGGAAGGCGATGACTAGGCATACGTAACACATGTCCTAACCATCTCAGTCGATGTAATTTCACAGCCTCGTCGATTGATTACCCCTCGTTATCTTACACTCGACGCCTAACCTCAATATTGCTCACTTTATTATGCCACTTCACACGGGAGATAGAACGCAGGCACCTATGATCAAAGACAGCTAGTCTTTTCATATCTTCCACTTTCAGTGACCAGGTCTTGCTCACAGGCATAAAGGAGGACGGAGCGGACTGATGAGCAGTACACAGGCCCTGTGGTCGATAGCCAGCCGGATACCACGTCCACCCCAGGGGCGGCGTAAACTGACATATGCGAAACTAGCCCTTTGTATCCGTGCTCAGATTTCGTCAGAGATCAACCCGTTGGGACTAGTGGTACTTCCTAAATAATTGAAGCGGTCAACGTGCTCTACCACTTCACTCCCTATTTCTAGTCTAGGAGTCGGTGTAGTCCAGTCCTGTAACATCATCTTACATTTGGCGGGAGCGAATCGGATGTCAAACATTCGTAGATTGCGTATATATATAGACAGTTCAATGCAGAATCTGGCACAAAAGCTCACTATGTTAACTATTACACTTTACAGTGGCATAGAATGAAGGCGAATAACGATGTATTGTAGTAAAAATGATGTTTTTGGTGAAAAAATGCA